ATGGGCTATTGACCCGTAGCCCTTGCGGGCTACGGGTCTAATTGTTAACTATCATAAACACCCTGAATACCTAAGAAGAGAATTTAACTTTGGACATAAATGTGTTGGGACTGGGACAACTGTCAGTTAGGTGTTTATGAGGGCCTGTCTAAATACTTTTATGAGGTACTTGATACGCCTACGTTTAACGGAGAGTAAATTTTTCATGCATTTTTGCACTCCTGAGTAGATTTGAACTAATAAAGGAAACCTGAGGATTTTTTGTAGAAACCAAAAGGTTATGAGCAAAATTACTCATTTACTGAAATAAAATATTTTTAACACCTGATCAGACTTTTTTCCTCAAAGCTCGTCTATTCTAGTCCAAAGTCGCTCTTTGACCGTTATTTCGCTTCTTCCGATTGTATGTTACCCGCTGCGAAAGCCGATCTCGGAAAGCGAAAATTCAGTCTGACGCTCAAAACTTGACTGCGAACAGCACGAGGTACAGGAGCGCTTCGAAGCGGGACTACCTTTAATCGCGAACCTCACCGCAAAGGACTTTGATTGAGAAAGTCTTCCAAGTTCACAGTTCAAAAAAATGTAGTTTTTCCAGGAAGGCTTTTGGATTTTGTACAAGTTCATTAAGATAACGTGTTAGTTTACCAGCAACGTCCATTCTCTCGGCCTCTGACATCTCTGAAAGTAGACTTTGGCGATTTACGAAAAAGTGTCGTAAAGAATCTCGTTCCAAACGATCGATCAAATTTTGAAAAAACCGCACCACACTCTCTCCTAAATTACTATCGTCATGTTTTGCTCGAGGATGCTCGCTACGGTAGTGGAGGAAAAGATTCTTGAAATGAAATGATGTTAACGGTTTCAGAGTCGATTTCTTGGCCGAGTAGATTGCCTTGGCGATCCTATAAAATTTCTTGTCAGATGACGCTGACTTCAGGAGCGATTTTTCTGCCTCTGAAAATGAAATTCGCCAGAACAAGTGCGAATCTGTCGACGTTCGTTCCTTATCTGGACAGGGTTTCGCCACTAAATGGAATTTGGGCTCTTTCATCTTGATTTGTTCCACCTCTCTTGTGGAAGGCCACGCCCTGCTTGTTGAACCCCACCCTTTTGCACAACTCGGCCATTCTGAGACCTCAACACTGAGCACGAGATCGAGGTCAATTTTTCCATCAATTGTCAACGTAACTGCAGGGCCATGTTGTTTTATTTTCGAAATCCGTCTTCTCTGTGGCGACATCCTTACAGCGAGCTGTATCAACTCGTAGAAATGCCTCACTAGTTTCTCAGGTGACAGAAACTTTCCATCTCTGGAGAGGAAATTCCCCCAACGTGCTCTTCCTCCAGGGATGCAATCGTTAAACACAAGTTTTGCGAAACCCGGATGATCTCGGCAGTATTCTTTGACCTTGAAGAAGCGCCTGATCAAGTGTGCTTCAAACACAAGCATGACGTCGAATTCTTCAGGACTTGAAACCCTGAGCTTTTCGTAGTAGCTTCCTGGAATGAACAAGACGATTACGACGACGATTACAACGAAATGATTTTCACATTCCGGTCCATTTATCATTTTGCAGTGATTTGAACGATTCACCTCAGTGAAAATTTCCGTCAAAGAACAAAGTTACTCTAAAAAATCTGTTTGTCGCTATTGTCCATATGAACAACAGAAATAAAAAGTAAAATCTAAATTTTTTGTCTTGACGAGACTTTTGTCTTTTACAGTAAAGTACATTTTTAACCTCAAAGAAGTCCCATCAAGACAAAAATCTCTGTTTTATTTTATATTCTATGATAAGAGGTAAACGTTTCAGACATCTATTGGAACTACAAAAGCTCTTAGTCTTAGTAAATTGCAAAATTAACACAATTAGTTATGAAAACCTCCAGGACATGTCACCGGTAAGTTAGAGAAAAACACACAATTTGTTTAGTATAACAGCTAAATGGTTTTATGGAAACCTCTCGCGGAAACTCTTAAACTTACCTGTATTTAATTGCTTCAGTGAGAATATCTCATCTTGCTTGTGTATGTTCTCCAGAATCATTGAAAGAAGACTATTGACAACTTCTGAGTTTCGACAGATTTCTTCCTGAGGTAGCGAAACCTTCCCTCTGAAAAATCTCAAAAGTGGTGAGTTCAAGGCGTTCAGAGTGTCAAGATCCCATGTCGATACTCGCCTGCTTCTAAAAGAAATAAATGTGAGAATAAACTTAAACAACTCGTTCATAAGTCCCTGACTCGTGCTTTCAATTATACCAAAGATGCCCGAAAAATCGGTCGGAAGTTAAATGGAAAGGTCTGTTTCGGTTTCTTCCGACAGGAATCAGATTCGGGAGCACCTCTGGAGGTGGTCCACTTATTTCGGTCGAAATATTCCAACCGAAATTCGCCCTTCCATTTTTGACAAACCGCTTCATTGCCCTTCTTCTCTTCACTTATGTAAGGAATTCGGAAAAAGAGTAAAAAATGGCAAGAGCCATTCCATTTGGTTGGCCCGGTTTAATCGGAAAATGTCGTTCCATTTTCCTCGGGTATTCCCACTGATGTCTGACCGGTCGGTTTGGCATCCTACTTCTCGCGACTGGTCAAACCTTTTGTACGGCCTCATGAAGAGACCAAAAGGGAGAGAATGACACGACTCCTCAGAGAAAAGTTATTATTTCTAAGACTACCATTCAATTCTTCGTTAACTGTTGATCACGAATGTGAAAGGAAGAGCAGTACGCAGGAATATACACATGTACGCAGTGCGGGCCTATCAGTATGAAACATGGCGAACTTACTCCGGGTTTAATATTTCTGGTCCCATACCTATTTTCAGGAGTAGCACAACTAGCAACAGGTCTCTTTGTTGTTGGTCGTGGACACAGAACCCTTGAAGTAGTATTTCTTGGGTAGTTATGTCGGAGAGGAATGCACATTGGCTCATGATTTCTCGCAGCAACTTCGCGCGAAGTAGTTCCATTCTGTGCAGGAGTACTTGAGGACTTGGTTGGCTGTTCCCTTTGAATACGTGAAAGTTGTTTAGGAACTTCAGCTATGACTTGAGTTCGAGAAAGTTTTGGAGTTGTTTCACTCCTTGGTGTTCGAGGATGCCGTGGTTTCCAGTGGGTTTGTGCTTGCTTTTGGCAGTCGGGAATCTTCTTTCTCTGTGATGTGACTTGTGGCTGAGGGTGATGGCCTAACATCGTAGGATCGTGTTTAACTTGAGTTCGAGAACGTGGGGGTCTCACTTCACCGACTGGGATTTTTGTACAATGGACAGTCTCCTTTCTCGGCGCAGGTGCCATCTCGTCTTCTTTGAATTCCACTTTTCTACCACCCGTTTTACGACCACTACTGTTCACAGTTTCACATTGCGGTCGCCTGGGTCTGTGAACTTTTGAACTAACAAGTTTCACTCTCTGCTTCTTGGCGCTTGGATCAAGCAGCTTCCTCGCTGAATACGCAGTGGACATTTCCAAGAGATTTCGACATGCAATGCCGGAGCAACCTGCAATGAGAAGGAAATTGTCGATGTGTCCTTGACAACCCAACGAAGTCCAGCCGAGTTCAATATACAAAAGCTACACTTAACGTTAGGGTTTTTCCCGGACACTCCTTTTTGCATGTCATACACCAAGAAAATCGGAAGTTGTACTATTTTCAACCATAAACTTCACTCCAACTGAAGAGATAATAAAAATACTTGATTTGTGCTATTTTTGGAATGAAATATGCCGGTTCGGTTTATATTCAATATAAATATGACATTTTACGGAGTGCAAAACGGAAGTGGTAAAACAATCTTCTCGGAATACTGTAGACAAACTTCCGGTAACTTGTAAGTTTTGAGCAATCGAGAAACTTCTACCCGGCTTTTTTTCAAATTTTCTTTCAGTCAGCAAAGAGAAGACATGTAATGAATCGTCTAAATCGTAGTCTCTTGTCTCAATCCAGAAGGATTGTTACCGGGGATAATTTTCGTAAGTATAGAATTCGTAGTTTTGTCATAAATTAATCCGTCACCTGCGAGAAAACTCAGTGGCCCGTGGACGATGTGAAAAGTGAGTTTTGTACATTTGTCGCGCTCCTGTCCTTTAAATAAACTTTGGAGGGGAAAAGCTTTCTTAACTTTTGGAGTTCAAGAAAGTTTTGGTTTTCATACACTGTCCGAGGAAAATATCACAAGAACGACAGAATTATTAAAGCAGCGAAGGTAAATTATCGAGACTTCTTGTTTTATGTTAGTGTCTTATCACAACTTACTGTGATCCAATCATACAAATTTCTACCTGATTACAACGTAAATGACTAAAGAAAAATTCCTCCCATGTTTTAGACCACACGCAGTACAAGCTATTTTCTTTTTACATCATGTCAGGTTTGCAATCATCAACTATTGAACTAAATTACAATAGAGAAATACTCAAAACGAACAAGAATATTTACCTGTCGAGCTACACAAATTTGACTCGTCCAGTCCTCAAGCTATTCACTGACTTCCATGAGGGAACGACTGAGGTTAGAAAATGAAAGAGGGGAATAAAACAAAGCGGTCGGAAACAAACGAGGAATCGTTTACAATATGCATAATCCATTATATTGTCATTTCTAAACAAGAAACCAATATTTGAAGTTTGATTTTCACGAAAGACGCGAAAATGAAACGAGGCACGAGAAGCCCGCGGTCAATGAAAGAGAAAGAAGTAATTGAAAAATATGAGAAGGAAAATTTGTAATACCTTTTCAGGAGGGGAAAAAACTCGTCTTCAACTTATGATGTCGCCCGGCTAGCTAGTTCACGAACGAAAAGTCCCTGCCAAAATGAGGTCAACAGACGCAGGTTTCCAATGCTTCCTTTCTATACCCACATACGTATTTTGTCCCTCTCCCATGACTAACGGTTATCCAAGTTACAATGGCTACCTAGCAAAAGTGTTTTAAACTGATGGGTACTTTCGATTCAGCGAAGGCAGATGGAAACTTTCCCCTCCCCCGCTATGCAACAAAATATCGCTAGAATAGGCAATCACTGAATCACATTTGTGCATTTAAAGCAGAACTAGAAAAATTTTAAAACTGAAACAGGTCGTGTTTTGGCCAGACTTTTTGTGGAGCGGGGGCGGGGGAGGGAGTGCTCAGCGCCTAAATACGCCTTCCTTTGCTTGCTCAATGGAAACTTTCCCTCTTTCAACTTCCTTTCGACCTGATAATCTGTTCTCTCCTTGTCTCTGGGCGACGATCCATGCCTTCTTGGTAACCGAGTGTAGCGAAAGTTCGAGTGTAGCGAAAGTTCGAGTGTAGCGAAAGTTCGGCACGCAATGATTATCAACTGAAAGGACTCATAACGTATGTACGTCTGTATGTATGTATGTATAATATAATACAGATGACATTGACAAATCTGTTGCCCGTATTAAATCAAATGCCGTCCTGATAAAAAAAAAAACTCTTATATGATGAGAGTTTAATTTATACTTCGTGCTGGGCAAAATGTCCAATATAAACCCAGATATTAATATTCATTGTGTAATATCGAGACCTTTGCACGCATTGTATGACCTTAACGAAATTGAAAAGACCTAGGCGCTAAAGCAATAACGATCTTTCTTCCAACGAAACACGACCGTAAATAAAGTAGCAAACAAAAGATACAAACACACTGAGCGGGCGTACGCGTATGAAATGTTACCTCTAGTCTAAATTCTTCCACAATCGAACTTTTTGCGGTAATTTTGACAATTTTTGCCAAGCTTTGCGTCTGATGATAGCTGCATAATTAGTGCGAACCTCTGAGGAAGCATGCAAATGTTGCCATTGGTCGAACGTAAGATAAAAGAAAACATCTGATTGGTGCATTTCGATCCTTGGCAATGCTATAAAAATGAAAATTCTTTTATAGCAGACATTATTTGCTACAGTTTTCACGAGGACAGTAGTATCAGTGCGAATCATGTCTGGACGCGGAAAAGGCAAAGCGAAGGGAACCAAATCGAAGAGTCGCTCATCTCGAGCTGGACTGCAATTCCCTGTCGGCAGAATCCACCGTCTCCTTCGCAAAGGCAACTACGCTGAGCGGGTTGGAGCTGGAGCACCCGTGTATCTTGCCGCTGTCCTTGAATACCTGTCCGCCGAGATCTTGGAATTGGCTGGCAACGCTGCTCGCGATAACAAGAAATCAAGAATCATCCCACGTCATCTTCAGCTCGCTGTCCGCAACGATGAAGAATTGAACAAGCTTCTTGCCGGAGTCACGATCGCTCAAGGCGGCGTTTTGCCAAACATCCAAGCCGTTCTGTTGCCCAAGAAGACCGACAAAAAAGGCGGGAAGACCTCCTCACAGAGCCAAGAATACTAGATCTTCTCAAAAACTTCATACAACGGCTCCTTTAGGAGCCACCAAATCTTACAAAAGTCTACATCAACAAGAATGATCGTACTTTTAGACGTTTTATTCAGTGAATTTATAATTAGGCGCCAAAACCGTTAACGACATTGGCGATCTCTTCGGCGGTTATAGATCGTTCCGATAAAAAGTAAAACTATTCTTAAAGAAAAACGACGTATTTATTGTTTATATCGGTTCATGGAACGAGTCTACCAAAAATTGCCGTCTTCCCTGGCTGTATTCAAACTTCTTATACTGGTTTGAAAGTGCAGTCAGCTTAAATCTTATCAGCACCTTACTTCGAAGGGCACTTGTAAATAACAGCATAATTTACAGTTCATAAGTTTTTAACATGTGTCAAAGACTGTAGGTTGGTTATGAAACGGGTACCCAATCATTTTCTCATTCTGTTTAAGCCTGAATTGGGGCTAATCTTCTGGCTGGGAGCTAATCAGCTAGGGGCTTGACTTGCAGGCCAAACGACCTACCTCCCCAAAACATATGCCACAAGGATTTTTCTAGCCTTGAAAACTGCACAGCAGTTAACTAACTTTTCTATATAACTACACTACAGTTTTTAAACCTGGAGTATCAATATGGTCTGTTTTAAATGTGTATGATGCCTGAAAACAATTGTAAGTTTACGGTGAAATTGAAAGGAGCTCAGTCACACTATTTTGAATTATTTTGGCCACATACAAAATTACCTTTAAATGGTAGGAAACCTGAAAATAACAGTTTAATAAGATAGAAAAACACCAAAAAGATAATGATAAACCATAAAGGAGCAAGGATGGAGAAGATTGACACGGATTACAAACAATGAATTTGAAAAGATGAGGTTAAACTTTTCACTATATGCAAACTGTCATGTAGCTCCTATAACATTTTGCTGTGTTTTGCTATTTTTTCATGGTTAGCATCCTTCTGCCTGTTGACTACCTGCTGTAATATTTGCATTTTCACAATTCACACACCTGACCCTTTTGAGCCTGTTAAGAGTACCAAAACCTTGAACCCCTAAGCAAAATGAAGTTTTGTTTAGGAAAGTGAGAGTTTAATATTAGGGTGAAATAGATGCAGAAATGTTTAGTGTAAAACGCAACCTGTGGCTGTAGTTGGGGTTAAATGTTGACTTTTCAGCTCAATCGTGTTATTTTCATCATCAAAAGCTAACAGTAAACAAACTGTAAGCAGGTTAACTGGGGCATAATTCAGGCTAACCAATTAACCCAAATAAACCTGTTTACAGTTGGCACTAGATAATCGAAATATTCCAATATATACTTCAATCATGTGTGCGAAAGACATTGCAGTCGAGTATAGATCGATACCCTCGATCGACACCCCTCAACATTCGGGCAACACTCGATTGATGTGTCGGTTGAGAATCAAATAATTTTCGCAGACCTGCCATCAAGTGTAGATCAATACGTATGAGTCGGTCAACACTTGGCCAACTGTTGATCAAGTGTCGATCAAGAGGTTGATTGAGTGTCGGTCTAGTGTTGACCAAGAAACGATCAAAATGTAGATAGATTATCGATCAATCAAGGATATAGATACTGAGGGGATCGACCAACATTTGACCAGGGATGCCTTTAGTACAAATGATCCGTTTATTTTAAAAAGTCTGCATTAATTTTTACCCTCGGTCTGCAGACTGCACTTTTCAGTCTTCATTTTGCCTGACAGGATTCAGAAATGACTTGGTTTGAATTTCGGATGCAGCCTAAGATACTGAGGGTTTGTGAAGTCTGGATTTCAATGTAGTACAAGGGCCCTTTTTTTAGATGACACTTGCATATAATAAGTGAATCTGGGATAATGAAAGGCTGTTATATGGAGGAGGAGGAAATTGCATATAGGATTATATTGGAAAAATTTGCCGCAATAAAAAGTTGTGCAAAAAAACTTTGTCTGCATATAAAAAAGGTAACCTAGTGCAAAAAGCCTTGCAGTCCATAAACTCGACTTCCTTTGTTTTTCTTTTACTTAACTACACGTTAAGGAGAGCATGTCATCTTAAAGTCTTGCAAAGTTGTGGATTTCTCTTTTTATGGACATGAGAAGTCATAATGTTTGCTAATATAAAGGGTTCAAAACGAATGCAATGCTAGATTGTGAGTAGGCCAAGTGCAGATCGGCATGGGTGGATAAGGTCCTCTGCCAATCCAAACGCGTTAAAAAAAGGGGATGTGGTGTAGCCAGAAGAATGATCATGTTCTAACCCTACAGCTGAAGTTAATTGTAAAACTATATATAGCCTTGCTATTTCACCATATTGAATTTTGATGTTTATACAATTACTTTATTTAAGGTATAGGACACCACGATGGTCAGTCACCCCCTTTTATCAAGTGGTGTCAATACTGTATTTGACAAGATGGCTTTTCCAAGACAGTGTGACTTTCATTTTGTCCAGAAGATTGTTCCCCATTGCAATTCCATAAGAAAGCACTCTTAATAACATTGTCCTTAAAAATCAAATTCAACGAAAGGCCTAAGGCCAGTAGGGTCCAGTAGCATGTTACTAAAATTGATCGCTCAATGCTTCCTTGAAGTAAGACAATTAACCCTAGGAGTCCGTAGACAGCTGTGATATGGGCAACAACTAATTATTAATTACTAAAGAAATAGGAAACTTGTACTGTGTTTCTATTGTGCTATAGAAACATGACAGGAAGTGTGGGAGAATGAGAAATGCTGCGGGAATACAAGCCAACAGGCAAGTGTTTCCACAGCGTTTTGAAGTTCTCTCAAACTTCCACTTGTGTGTCTATTAAACAATTAAATTATGAGCTCAAGATTTCTTTTTTGATAGATTACTAGTAGATTTATACTAAAATGTGATAGAAACACAGAGAACATGTTTTCTATTTCTTTTAGAGAATTCCATGACAATCATCAAAAATGTTAATTCTCTTTGCTCGCAACATCATTTCATCAACAGCTTGTGCTAGTTCTGTGTTTCTATAGTCTCCTCCGCAGCCTTTTTTTGGGGATGTCACACAACACTTTGCTTGACATCCCAAATAATGGCTACGGAGGAGACTGGTGTTTCTGTCAAGTTTTAGTATAAATCTACTAGCATTCTATCAAGAATGTCAATCTCTGATTGGCTATGCTACTCACTATCTACTCTGTAATAAATGGTGTGTAGCATAGTAGTGTGCCCTTGTTAACAAAATGACAGCCACTTCTTGGCATTTTCAAAGTGTCTGTGAAGAGGATTTAGATAAAGTTTTGAACAACTAGTTGATTTATACTAAAACAATTAGATTATGGGGTTGAGATTTCTATTGTGTGATAGAAATCTCGAGCTCATAATCTAATTGTTTAACAGAAACAATTTTAAACCAATCAGCAAGCGTATTTTCTTTGGACTATTTTCTAATAACAATATTATTATTAGCCATAATTTATGCTGTCAGTTGGTGCCCAATAGATGATAACATGATGAATGTAGGCTGCAGGACTCTTTCTCAGTTGTGTTCCCTCTCATTTCTATTTTCAGCCCGTGTGAGGTATGATTTCATCTACTGAAAATTATTTTCTTCCTTGCTCTCAAACGAAACATGTTGCAACATGATCTAAATTAGACTTGACTCCATGTCTACCTAGGAACAGCAATGGTGAAAGGCAGTGAATAATGAACAAATGTGCCATTTTGGGATCAATCCGCCATCCCACCCCACTCAGAATGTTTATCCCAAACCCACCTGGTTTTAGTGAGTCGTAGTTCTCTGTGTTATGTTCGTAATGTGTGATTTTCTGTTTTCAATCCATTCTGCTCTCAATTTTTAAAGTATCCCGCATCCCGCCTTTCAATGTGAGCTAATTCCTGTCCAACCAAAAGTTCTTTTATCCCACATCCCACCATTCATTGGGCCCTGGTTTTTGCTTAATTTAAACTGTGTGGGTACATGTACGTATAATAACAATGCCCCAAGTCCTAAAGGAAGCTCAAAAATTCAAATTACTACCAGTATTATAACACTAGTGAGAAACTGAATTGTTAAAACAACTGTGAATAGTTACCTCTCCTTCAACAGACTCCACATCAGGAGTGCCAGGGCTTTCATACTCATCGGTTTCATCTTCAATTTCCTCAGCTGAATCATCATCATCATCCTCAATCTCATCATCATCTTCATCAAGTCTCTACCAAGGATTTTTACAAAAACTTCAAAAATTGTGTCAAGAGGAAGGGGCTGAAACATTTTGAATACAGTGGAACCTCGATTTAACGAACCTTGTCCCGGCCAAAGTTACAGTAAAATGTATGGAATAGAACCTTGATATAAAGAACCTCGATATAACGAATTCTTCGATATAACGAACATAATCCAGAAGCCCAAATGTAAAATCTACCTCGATATAACGAATTACAAGGTCAGTATGCGACAGAAGATAAACGTTGAACAGATCAACAGTCAACAAATCCTTGTAATCCTTATGGTAAAGANAGTTATTTTATAGCAAGTGTTATTTCAATATGGTCAAGCTGTCCATTAATCCTGATATGGAATAGCATCCTTCTAGACTTCAAATTGACAAAGTTATTTTGCTGTCAAACTTTTGTGCCCCCGCAGGGTTTTGGCCCAGAGGCCAAAATCCGAGGAGGCACCCTAGGATTCCCCGCGTGTATACAAACAAGGAATTTCAAAAAAGTAAGAAATTAAATATGTTGGTAGTATGTAAGAAATGTGTTGGTAGTACAGTGGCACCTCGATTTAACGAACCTCTATTTAACTGACGAAGTCCTCGGTATAACGAACTATATTCTATGTCCGGGCCAAAGTTACAGTAAAATGTATGGAATAGAACCTCGATATAACGAACCTCGATATAACGAATTCTTCGATATAACGAGCATAATCCGGAAGCCCAAACGTAAAATCTACCTCGATATAACGAATTACAGTCAACATGCGGCAGAAGATAAACGCTGAAGAGATCAACAGTCAACAAATCCTTGTAATCCTTATGGTAAAGACACAGCAACCTTTCAGTCAACGGCTTATTATATGTCACAGACATTGGCACTATTATGATAGTATTTCGACATCAATTAACTTCTGCTGTATCTTCTTTGAAATCCAGAAACGTTGGGTAGTGCAACATAACAACACTAAAGCCCGTTTCCTTGTTTACAAAGACAATTTTCTGTATAACCTTTGTATTGCAACATTTTTAAATCGCTACTCTGAAAGTGTCGTTCTTTTGAAAACAAAAGCTGCGCGTCTCCTCAAAAGTGAAAATAATTGATACTGAGAGCCACCATGCTTAATGAATTGCATCTCAAAACGCTGCACTTCTGGGTGGCGAAAATTGCATTGAATTGCGTGACAGAAGTCACCTGTGTTACAAATCAATCATTAATTATGACCTCGATATAACGAACATTTAANGAACATTACCTCAGTCTATAATTCCTTATTTTTAAAGAAAAATAAAACTACATGCCAAAATTTTAATAAATCTGTGTCCCCTTTATAATGTGGACGACACCCCAGGGAGACAAAAAAGTCAGAATAGCCCTGCCCTGAGGTGCATTCCTCAAGGAGCCAGATCAGGATTTATTATCTAAGATCTCCTGCTAGATCACGGAGCATCTGAAGAACCAATAATTCCTCGCTGGACAAGGATTTGTCGATTCTTTCAATGCCCTATGATCTAGTGGTCTTAGATGACAAATCCTGATCCAGATCTTCTCAAATATATACATTCACAGTTACCAGTATCACAGTTAGCCTGTGATACCAATATTAATGAAAATGAATGATCACAGTTACTGTAAAGATTGATGAAAACAGTCGAATTATATTTGAAAATCATAAAATTAAATTTGCAATTATGTTGAGTGGGATAAGTGATTTCCACTGATTTTGCCTACTGGTATTTTCATTGAGAACTTAACTAAAAACAGTACTAAAAGACTCAAAATTAATAATAGTTAAACTTCCTGTACCATCCTATGCTAGTCAACCAATACTTCCGGGAATACCTCTAGGGAAACTTTAACTCGGTTGAATAATATTGGAATAAAAGATAAACTTTCTACAGTATCTTTGGACATAATGGATCATTATTGCATGCAAGCCGCTGCCAGGGTCCATTATTCATCATGCATAGAAATAAAAAACTCAATAGAAGTCTTTGTGTGTGATTACCACTTCACATTGATTTTTATTAAAACAATCACATATGACAAAAATTATTAAAAAAAATGTTGATTTTATTGATTCATAATCCATGACCGATTTCAATTGATTGGTATTTCCTGTTAGTGGGTTAGTTAGAATAAGAAGGTGGAATTTTCCTTTTTAAAAAAAATAGGTTCCATCTTGCCATGGATTTGTTCAGTAATAGATAACAGATGACATCAAAATGTGTCAAGAACAAAAAAGTGGCACACGAGTAGTTAGGTGAGTGTGTCATGGGTGTTTTTACCACATTTTGATATCTTCTGTGATCTATTACTGAACAGACGCATGGCAACGTGAAATCTATCTCTTTTACATGATAAAGAAACAAAAAAAAAATGTTAATTATGACTTCATCTATATGTCTGTCCTCCAACAGATCATCAGTTAGAACCAATCAAAATGCAAGAGTTATTGGCCTTATTATATATATAAAAGGGAATGTTCCATTTTAAGCTTACCTCCTGCTTGTCTTTGGTTTTGGTGGTACCGATTGGAAGAATGTCACTGCCCTTATCTAGGATCTTCTTGAGCTACCAAAGAAATATCATTTATTACACAGAGGGGTGACGAATGGTGAAACTCGAGACTTGCCGAGAGCCCAAGACATTTGTTTGAAAATCTGAAATTCTAACTTCAACGATTTTAGAGTACAAAACAGTAACACACAAAGACGAGATTCCATGGCTCATCACAAAGGTTTCCGAGATTTCGAGCTGATATCAAAGATTTCCACGATCCACTATTTTCTTGGTAACATTCACCACCCCAACATAGGTGAGCTTTAAAGAATTTAGCTGTGTAAACTGTACAGTCAACCTTTTATTGCTACCTTTTCGTTCTTACCAACACTTAAACTTGTCCATGGTTGTAGATTATACGCATGGACTTTGGAGAAAATGTTACAATAACACACAGATCTTTAGGCTGCTGGGAAATCATTGAAGGAACAGAATACCCAGGCACTTGCTTTCCCCATAGTGCTTTCCCATGAGTTAGGAGCTAAATGCTTACAATTTGTCGTCAACTTTGAGAAATATTAAACGTGATGTGCGATGCTACGATCTAGATCTGCACAGCGAGGCAAAAATAATACAACACACCGAGGCAGCATATTCTTCTTCTTCTTTAGTCAAAGCAGCGTCATCGTCTGATTTCTTTTCCAAAGTGAACCACAGATCGTCAGCGACGCGCGGAAGAAGGGACGGAAAAGTTGCTGACGAGGTCGCCATCTTTGATGTTTTGAAACTCCCACGAAATCTATCAGACACTTCATGTAACTTGCATATGGTCCCCGGAAGTGTCGATAGGAACCGCGACGGTGATGCTTACCGGGAATGTTAGAATTTTACCTACCACCTCTGGTCCAAATAATGACATGGTAAACCGGGTGTAAAAAGGTACCTGGTATGTTGTAAATCACGGCCAGGAGCTCACGGATTAGAGACTGAAAGCGTGCTTTCATTTTAATACTAACATTACCTCTCTAATGAGCATCGAAAAGTGGGCCTGTTTCTTTTCAATAGGGGATTATTATTATAGAGACTGGGCTTATTTTAACAGCTAACACACAACGCGCGTACATAAGGAAATAAGGAAAAGACACTTAGTACAAACCCATGATCCTCGAATCAATTTTCTTCTAGTTGATAAACTGTCTTCGGCGTACTACCCTGAAATGGTGCAAATGCCTGCATGCTTGAATTGAAGACGTGGAAGTCTATCCCGATGGAGGGATTACCACTGAGAAAAGGGTGATATCTGAACTCTAACAACTATTGCTTTTTTGCAGCGATGTTTGGCCAAATGCGTTAAGCCACGGTGAGGTTTTGCTAAAGTGAAGGTCAGACTTCCCTATTCGTGTCCGTATCTCGCAGTTTCACTGTTGTCAGAATATTGTGAGTTTGCCCACGTCAACCGCGTTTTTTTTTTTTTTTTTTTTTTTTTGAGAAACCGGCTACTAGAGAAACTAACTTGTCATGGGATCTGCTCCATCACTAATCCACGAGGACAAAGGCAACTATACTCACAGGGTGATCGCGCGGAGGAGGTATGTTTCTCGGATATTTTACATTTAATATAAATATCAGTATTTTTCCTGTAATCTTCAGCCAGCTAGGCAGACGTAAAACAGGTAATTTAGCTAAAACAATGTTCATTAGATCAATTGTTATTCAATTTCCCTTTTTTATTGACTGGTCTTGTCGTGGGGAAGGTAATCAGTTCCGTCACAGCATCAGAGTTTTCTTTTACGAGCGCTTGCTTGAGCAATTGTATGACGAGGGCCTTCCAGAGGAGGAAGCATATTCCCTTGATCCCTTGAAAATTTCCCTTTTGCTCCCTAACAATGAACTTCATTGTTCGCTATTTTTTTAATGTCAAAGTTCCCTCGAATAGGAGAGATACCCTTTGTTCCCTCAAGTTAATCGCAAACATATCCTTTGTTCCTTTGAAATAAATGATCATGTTCCCTTGTTCCCCAAAACCCCTGGGAGGCCCTCTATGATCACTGTTACGGTCATCGAAAAAGTCGTGGGGTAATTCCCCGGTAATCTGAGTTGGAATTTGCAGCGTTCTTATCAAAGCTCTTACCCTAGCCTATTAAGATTTTGGACTAAACCGGCATAAAACCCAAAAACCTTTTCGCGCCGCACCTATGTGGCATCAAGAGAACACGATCATAATCTCTTGGTGCAATTTTAAACTCGATCGAATTCTCCAGAAATAATACCTGTTTTAACGTTGTTTTTTATATCCAACGAACAGAGTCAAGAAGATTAAAGAACACTCCACACGCCTCTTCTGGAAATCAGCTTTCTTAAATAGAGTTTACCTACCTTTTACCTAGCTTTTGGAGGAGACTGCTCGTAGGGCAACTAGTTTTATGCTGAGTTTAATCAGTTCAGTGGCATCTGTTCCCCCATTGTTGTGAAGATATATCATATTGGCCGAATTTTTTTCTCCGTGGTTTGACCGGCCTGGATCGATTACTACACAAAAACTTTTTTATTACTATATTAACTAGTATGACAAATTAAACGACAGCAGTTAAAATGCACTGGTATTCTTTCGCTTCTCGTCTTACCTTCTCCCGGCTCCCCTCAATTTTTCTCTCTCGCCGCTGTTTGGCAAGCTTTGCTCTTCGAAGTTTCTTCAAGTTTCGAGAGCCGGTTAATGCTAACCCAGGATTAAAAGTTAACTGAAGTATTATTTTTCTTGCATAAAAGTGTTTTTCTCTTCTTATGTTTGGTAAAGTTAGAGATTACTCCGGCTCAAAACTGAATAACAAACATCGTCAACAAAAAATCTCACCAACAAGTTACAAACCTGAAATCAAAATTCTCGCTAATTCTGGATTAGCTTAATCGGGCTTTGAACAACCCAATAGGGCTGGCTGTTGATAATTTATATTTTATTAAACAATACTAATCATAATGGATAAAACTCAAAACCCTTTCGTGTAGATAGCCCAGTTTGAGACTAGTTTTTGGAATCGTTCTTTTCAGTTTAAGAGACCGAAGTCACCGAAGGCGAAGGGAGAAGACGAACTGCAGAAGATTTGGAGATAACTCCCTATCTGCTCGTAGTGCGAGAACGGCGGGGTCTTTGGCGATTGCTTACAGAGGAACTAAAATAAGAAAGATAATTTTGTAGAGCTAACTAATCAGTTATGAGACGTGAACCTTCACAAGGCTGGAGATCAGAGAACAAGTGTTGCTGTATGATTCTTGGCACCAACAAATATACGTTAGTCACGAAGTAGAGAAAATAGCTCACAAAAAAATACAAATCAGTTCTTTCGTTGTTCTGACCTTTTTGGACAGAATTGAAACTGAGGTGTTCGACCTGTGTACACTTACTTCTGTTATATATGACGGAGTAAAATAGTCCAGCATGTTTTCTTTTGTTATGTTCCAAGACTTTTTGTTTGTTTTTTTTCACTGATTGATGTTACCAACAAATGCAACATTTGAAAGAAAAATTCTTTTGGCAGTGAATCTAAATTTCTGTCAATCAAATAACATCGGTACCTTAAATGGCAAACTGGTAACCAGTATGGGAGTGAAAACGAAATGTACTCAGTTCTTGTGTCAAGCCACAGGCAACCCAAACGCGTCAATGAAGATTAGAAAATGAATCAATCTATGTTTGCGTGGTTCACCGAATAAAGATTTTCAAACTATGTGTGGTGTCATTTCTTCTCATCCTTCCTTCCTAAACGAAATTTTTAGCGAAGTTAGGTTATTTATCTTGCGTTGGTCTCTTATGTAATATAACCCCGTAGGACAAATACCGTAGTTTCGCTCAATCTCGTTTAAACGCACCAGGATGAGAAGATAACCTCCATTTTTGAGCAAATGTTTTCTCAATCGTCCACACGCGTCATGGCCTCTTCTAAAATGTCGACAGAATTCCTGGGTAGGGTATGGTCTGAAACAAGGCGGCTAACTTTGAGTCAGGTCTGAAATAGGGTAGGGATAATCAGGAATAATAGAGGGAAAATCACATTGTTTGGTCTGAAACAGGGCAATGATTTCAAGCGCACAGTACACCCCAACCCAAAGGTTTAGGAGTGCATCCTCTCCCCCCGCCCCACCTCGCTGCCATCTTTGAGACCAATAAGGTTTATCTGTAAGTGACAGGTCTTAAAAATGAGAGAAAAGTTGCCAACCAGCACTTTTTTGACATCAATCTTCTTAATATTGAAAACGTTCAAACCGCCAGAAAAATTCTCATTGGCAATTTTACTAATTTCTTGCAATGACTTTTTCTTCTTTTACGATTGACAAGGTTACATGACAGGTCTCCAAATGGTATATTGTGCTTTGTTGAAATTCAACAAATTATACTTCACTACTTCAAGCTGAGAACCTTAATTTTATTAATAGGCACATTTGACAAAAAAACACCCAATATGTATCACGTTATAAAGTAATTATGTACTAATAAATGTTTACATTCAGTATTCAATTTTATATATGTGATTTACCTAATGCTACATAAACACGCAATAAATGACTTTTCGTTTGCAAAAAAATTGAGTCAATGATCCTTAGTATTAAGGATGGGTAATATCCACCCTTGAATCAATTTAAAAATAAGCTCTCCAAAAAAACAAAACAACAACCAAAATAATGAAAAATAATAATAATAAGCTCTTAAGACCTAAACTATGTCAGCCTTGTCTTGAAACTCAATTTTATACAAACATATGTTTCTAAAAATATCAATAATTATATTTGAAAACACCATTTTCTGAGCAAATTACAAAGCAAACTCTACCAGCAAAAATATATATAGTCTTTTGCTGCTTTGATATTTGATATTTTTCTCATTGATAAATTCCATGTACCGTACATGTTTTAAATAAAGGCTTTCGTTCGCTGCTGTAACTGCTGCCATTTGTTATAATTAATAGCTGTGGTTTTATATTCCTTGCAGGCAACAGACTACAAAAATAGTCAACAACTTCAATAAGTAAATACATGCATGATGGAAACTCTAAACAACAGACAGATCTTCCGTATTCGTTTGAACTTCCAAGGCCTATTCACAAGTAAAAGGCCGGCAAATATAAATTAGGGTTAAGAATGTTTATTTAGTCTTCTAGCTACGAGACAACAGCCTTTGATGACCAGATGAATTTAAAAGGTGACTAGAATGGGCTGTTGCAATTCAAGCCGATAGATGCCTATCATACAGATAACTATAATAGCCCGACAGTTAGCTGTAACAAAGCACCACAGAATTCCTAACAAAGGTTAGTAAGAGGTAACGGTGAAGAAATTGGTACCTTTCATAGAATGGGAATGAACATTCCCTATCAATCGTTGGGCCTGAGAAAATGGGGCCAATGATCCTTGTACATTATTTCCCAAAAGTGGAACAATATTCAATATATCAGTGACTGGGTTAATAAGCTTTTGATTCCGATTAACTTTGGAACTACATTGAAACCCTCATTATAATGAACCCCTATATAACGAAGACCCATTCAATAATAATCTAATCAGCCACAGTTCTCCATACAAACTCTTATATTATGCTTGGCTGACCTGTTCCCAAAGCTACTAACATTAAAATGTAGAAAACAGAACTCCTTGTCATTAATACAGAGAAGATCCTATCCCAGTCCCTTGGGATTTAATCATATTGTGGTTTTAGTGAACAAATCAGTAGAAACATTGAGCTTACAGTCTAATAACAATTATTAGAAAACAGTTTCTTCATTAAAATACCATCATGCTTCTTTGTAAAACCTCATACACATTTTAGCCAAACTTTGTGATGCTATCATTGTGTTCAAAAGAGGTGGCAATATTATGCAAGATTATGACATTTTAAAACAACTGTCATCCTATCACTAAGACACGCCATAAATGTACTTGGATCATCCATCACACCAATAGTGGAACCTCCTAGAAACTGCCCAGTTGAGTTAATTGTCTAGTTTGACAAGATAGCTTTTTCAATCAATTCTTATCAAATCAAAAACATTCGGGACTCTCTTTGATGAAAAATAGTTAACGAATTAAAAGTAGCGACAATAAAACTTGAAATTATCTCAAACATACTGGCTTTGACTTCACTATAAAAGGGGTGAAACTCTTTCATATGAAAATAAGTTCAATTTGCAAGAAAATGAGTGACACATTCTCATATCAATGGTTTCATTCAGATTAGCAAAAGGCAATTTGGAAATAGCTGATTTTACAACTGACAGTAAACTGCTATTGAATGAATCACATTTTTCCCACTTTAACTCATTGTAGAGTCTACCTATAAAGACAAGCTCTAGAGAACTCAGTATTGGTAGCAGTTAAGAAACAAAACATAGTTAACTGAGGTTTAAACAGATCACTGCTTAGTTATCTAATGTATTGTATAAACAATACATCACAACTATGATCAAGTTAGGAAACTTAAACTTTTCCAAAGTCATCATTTGTTATATTTTTGTTTCCAGTGACTCATTTGAGCCTTTGGAGTTCACAGTTTTTCCTTCTCTGGATTTTGCCGAACTGGCACCATATGATGAACTTACACCTCGCTGCTTGATACCAGAGAAAAATCCGCGCTTTTCACCCTGACCTTTGGCCTTGCCTGCCACCTTTCCATGTTTGTCCTGACCATGAGAACCACTAGAAGTAAAAGCACTTTTCCCTTTTTGCTTCATCTTATGAAGCAAGGAAAACTGCTTGTGTTTACCAGTTGGAGAAGGCTTGCTTGCAACAACATCATCTTCAACAAGAGATGTTCTAACAGGCTTTTCTGTATATGGAGGTGGTTTCATAACATCCAATTCTGACGTGTATGGAGGACAGGCTGAACTCCACGGCTCCTTGATCGGCTGAACAGTGTGCAAATCGTGAAAGCTGGCAGAGTAGCGCCTTTCTTCTAAAATTTCTCCATTTGGTCCAAGTTGATGAGTTGAACCTGGTACTCCAAGGTCTCTTCTTGAGTCAGCTGGAGAATCAGAGCTGTTTGAGGATGACACGCTGTCTGACCTTCGAGGCTTTTCTGCAAGGCTACTGTTTGACACTGTGCTGCTGCTCTCTGACTGCGCTGACGACAGCTTCCTCTTCAATGTGCTGGTGAAGTTTCCATCATTTAATCTCATTACACTGAAAGCTTCCAAGACCTTTGTTACTCTTGTGTGACCTGGAATTATAGAGAAACAATGACCTACCCTACCTAAAAAATCTTTCCCAGTTTTTCAGGGCAGTAATAAGAAATACTGTGAAATAAATCAAAACACTGAAGTCAATTAATTAAAAGCCATTGAAGCATTTTGGAGCAATTTGAACATTTCGACCTCAGAAGATGCACTCTAGGCAAGGCAGTGCTAAGAACTTTGGGGAGGTATAAAATTAGGGATTTTGTAATTTGGGGGAGAAAAGGGAGAGGTTGTTGTTTTTAGAAGAAGTTGTGAAGGTTACAATAATAATTGTTGTGACCTCCACAGCTCCCCTGAAAAACAATGCCCTCTGCCCTTCTTTCTTCTTCTCTCACTGCTATCCCATAACTCAATCAAACACTTTATAGGGAAACTTATGAGGGAGCAGTAAAAGAGATAACTAAAGGTTATTTCTTGGGAGTGGGAGAGCACCATGTCCCCTGTACCACACCAGTCCAAGAAGAATCAAATATTAAATACATTACATGCAACTAAATGCAAAGCCAAAGACTTCATTTTTGCAAGCCCACAGTAATGGGTCATGCTATAGGAATCAAAATTTCAAGGGTTAAATTAACTCAAAAGCTGTGTCAAGAGGCAAAAGTACACAAATGATTCTCAGGCCTAAAAAACAATTACTCACCAGCTTCATAAGCCACTTGCATTGGAGTTCTTCCGAGTTTGTCTGCATGATTCATGTCAGCATCATGCTCAAGGAGAATCTGTACAACTTCATCATGTCCTTCCTGAGATGCAATACAAAGTGCAGTCGCACCTTCCAGAGACATCTTGTCCACCTTTGCACCCTTTTGAATCAACAACTGTACCGTAGAGAGATGGCCTTTCCACGCCGCTGACATTAAAGCTGTTCGTCCTTCAGAATCTGCATGATTTATTTCTGCTCCTCTGTCCAGGAAAAGTTCCACCAACTCATAAGACCCCTTCCATGCTACAGCATGAAGTGGAGTCCGTCCTTCCATGTCTCTGCTGTCAACAAAAGCACCAAGATCTAACAAAACTTCAACCATCGGTTTGTTCTCTTCGATGGAAACAGCAAAGAGAGGTGTCCGTCCGAGACTGTCCTGGTGATTGACATCTGCTCCAAGACTGACTAAATGTTGGACACAAGCCTCGTGACCTTCCATTGCTGAAAAATGCAAGGCTGTGCGCCCATCAGAGGAAGCCTGTTCAATAGGTGCACCATGCTCAATAAGTGCTGACACTGCATCAACATGGCCTTCCTGTGCTGCTAACATCAACGCAGACCTCCCGTCGGGATCTAGAGCATTGATATCAAGACTTGCCTCTATGAGTGACACTACTGCATCTTTGTGACCTGAATATCAAATGAAAATTTCATTCTTACACATCCAGACATAAGTGATATTAGCATTAATTGATAAACTCTTGCCTTTACCAAACATCACTTCATTTACCTCTGATTGACGATTTTATCCTCTCTAGCCACTAAGAAACATTTTTTTTCGCAAAATCTCCTTAAGGTTACAGTATACCTTCAGATCGGCAATTTTCTTCAAATTTGGATTTTTGGTTCAAAGTAATGATCGAAGAGTAATCTCTAATTTCTGAAAACAAAATTGAAAAAAACTCAATATTGGCAGAGAAATGGAGGTTTTACGTTACAGCCGGAAGTAAAAGTTTCATCTTGATTGACAGCCCTATAACATGTACGCAATCAACCGAGACTACTTTCGCGGGAATATAAGGATACCACGAATTGGCTGGCTATTCAGATCCAAGCATTTTTCGTATTAGATGTAATTCTATTAAGTTATAAGTAAACATGGGCCACGGAAAACATTGT